AACAGATCAACTTAATATTAGTGAAAAACTAAGTGAAGCATAACGAAAACCATTTTATTGGATTAACATAATATGAGACGTACGATTATTTGTAGGAATACAAATGGGAACTAGCATAGTAAAGAGAACACACACACACCAACCTTATTGGAAGTTTCATTTAGTCGACATGACTCGTTGGTGTTACTAGATATAATAGAAGGTCTTTCACTCGGTGGTGGTGGTGGTGATAGGCACGACAGTGACTCCAACACTGTGAACAACATCACTAGCTTGTCCGTGAAATCCAACAATCTTGTGACCTTCCTCTCCAAGCGAGAACTTCTCACCAGAATCCATTCCAAACAAAGTCGACTCCCTTTTGTTCGTCTTGAACCGAAGAGAGATTATCACTGGTGCCTCAACTCCATAGATCTTATCAAAGTAGCCTTCCAAGACCGTGAGATATTCACCATCCTCAAGCACAAACTGCAAAACCTCAAAACTAACAAAGATAAGTGTAAACAATTTAAGAAATTACATAAACAAAAAACTCTTGATGTTTATATAAATGACCTCTTCAGCTCCAAGTAGTGTCTTCTTCCCATGATCATCTCCAAAAACCAAGTCTGTTCCTTTACTATACTCAAACTTGACAAAGCATACACCGTCGTTACCTTGTCCTACATATATCTTCTTAACATTGTCGTAGACACCATCATCCCATGCAACTCCTTCATTACCACCTATTGCTGGTAATTTCTTGGCAGGAATTAAAGGAGTCGGAATAGGTATAGGTGCAAAATATGCTCCAAGAGCATAAATAGCTTCACCTTCCTTTCCGTGGAACCCGACAAGCTTACGGCCTTTTTGTTCTAGCACAAACTTCTTACCCACTTTATAGCCAAAGAATGATGTTTTCCCCTTTGATGTTTGGAACGTAAGAGACGTAGTTACGGTTTTGCCAAAAAGGCTTGGCTTATTATATGTTGCTTCAACCGATTCGATGTATTCATCCGGGTAATCAAGCACAAACTGCAAGAAAAAGCAAACTTCAAGAAGAGTTTTGTCGCAAGCAATTCAAATATACAAGAATAGAACCGGTTTTGAGGGTGTAAGAGATGTATATACTTCATAATAATGCAGAAAATCCTCATAACAAC